CTTTGCGCGCGAGGGCCGCAATGCCCAGCGCACCGCGCAGTACTTCCGCGAGCGCGCCCCGGGGCTGCCGCTCGTCGATCCCACCCCGGCATTCTGCTGCTGCGGAAACGAAACGAAGCGACGGCGGCGTTGCTTGTTGTTTGGTCGAGTTCGTCTCCACCGCTGCTCTGCTTCTTCACGCTGCTCTTCACACTGCCGGCGAGCGAGAAGAAGCAATTGAGGACAGTAGGAGACGGCTGGCGGCTGGCACAGGACAAGCAGGACAGGGCGACGACGCCGTCAATCGTGGCTGTCAAGATGTTCATGATCAGGAATGGTATGGCCCTCATCCCCCCTCCAGTCCTTTGCCCCCCGCTGACCGTCACAGTCAGCAAATACCTCTTCGGCGACACCGCCAAGGAGAACCTCATCGACATCCCGCAGGGCCTGCTGTACATCGTGCGCCCGTGCTCGCCCAAGGGCTACTCGGAGCTGATCTTCAAGGACGCCGCCGCCAGCATCCGCCGCACCGGCCAGGACCACCAGTACCAGCTGGTCATCCAGCGCGTGTACGAGGAGGGCGAGGCGGAGCTCGCCGCCGAGCAGGAGGACGACCACGGCGAGGAGGGGATCCTGGCCGCCAGCACGAGCAGTGGCGGCGGCGACGGACGCGGCAGCGACGCCGCGCGGACCGCCTCCGGCGGCACCGGGATCAGCACCCCCGACGGCCTGGGGACGAGCGACAAGGACGAGCGCGCGTTCCTGCTCGACCAGGCGCTGCGCCTGCGCTGCGAGACGCGCGCCGACTCGGGCGAGCGCGTCTTCGCCTGGCGCGACCTGAGCGGCGACGCGGGCGACCTGTACGAGTTCGTCGTCGACGCGTCCATCTCGCAGGAGAAAATCAGCACCTTCCTCCTCGCCGCCGTCCACTGCCAGTACGAGCGCAAGTACAGGAAGCCCGCCACCGCGGCCACCGCGCAGGAGCTGGAGGAGTTCCACTTCGAGCGCGAGGACCCGGTCAGCTCAGGCTGGGCGTTGGTGATGGCCGAGATGGACGCCGTCAGCACAGGCTGGGCGTCGGTGATGGCCGAAATAGAGGCCGTCAGCTCAGGCTGGGCGTCGGTGACGGCCGAGATGGACGCCGTCAGCACAGGCTGGGTGTCGGTGATGGCCGAAATAGAGGCCGTCAGCTCAGGCTGGGCGTTGGTGATGGCCGAGATGGACGCCGTCAGCACAGGCTGGGCATTGGTGATAGCCGTCAGCGTCTCCGACCCGACTGGGGCGGAGGTGGCAGGGGCCGAGGTCTCGTCGGCCGAGGTCTCGGCTGCACTCGTAGCTGGGGTCGTGGCATTCTGAGTCTGAGTCTGGGCCTGGGCCAGAGCCCCGAAGAACGCTCCAACAAGGAGGGTGCCGCGAGACACCGTTCTGAAGCTCATCTTCGCTCGACTGCAGTTGCGTCGATGGAGGACCTGGTGTCATCCGTCGCGCAATCTGATGGCGGTGTGCCGAGAATCAGCCTGCAGCAGTGCGCGGGCTGCCTGGCCACCAGGGGCCTTTATACTCCGCCCAGCCGGATGGCATCGCGGAACACCTTGCGCGGCGAATCCAGGTTCGCAGAGCGCCCGCCGGCGCTAGTTCGCACGGGACAGCGTGCGCGACAGCGTTCTAGCTTCTCTGCGTGCGGCGTCGTCCATGGCGCGCGCATGCATCCTGGCATCGCAACAAGCGGTTCCGCGCAGTGTAGCGCGCTGGGCACCGCTGGCCGTGGTCCAAGCCGCCGCCGTCGCTTGACGGTCCCAAGCTCTCCGGAGCAGTTCATTTGCTGCCGCTGGTCGGTTGTCGTGAATTGGGCACGGGCGCGCACTTGTTCGAGTAGTAGGTCTGGAAGCAGCGGAGGTGGTCGACGTTACGGCTGTTCCACCAAAGCATATTGCACGCGTCCACTCCTGGTTCACATGGTATTGCCGCCTGGCGCGATTGGCGATGCCATGCAGCCCTGCGATCACGTCAGTGAGTCATCGAGCTGGCTGCGACAGATGAGTTGGAGCTCAACGTACTGGTCGGTGCAAGCGCCTCCCCTGTCTGCCTTCTCGACGCATGGTGAAGCCAGCACCTCGTGTGTGATTAACGTTCCAATGAGGTGGACTGGAGTGGAATTGTTGTTGTTGTTGCTGCCGACGTCACTGCAGGCTACAGTTTGTTGTGCCTATCATGTTAGCGCGTCTAAATTACGGATTGAAAGCCCTGGTAGCTCAGTTGGCTAGAGCGTTCGGCTTTTATCCGGAAAAATTCGTTACCGAAATGTCGTGGGTTCGAGCCCCACTCAGGGCGTTTTTGTTTTTGTCGCGGCGCACCAGACCCCTGACAGCGCGAGCCCCTGAATGATGGCTGATCAAGGGCGTTATACATGGGCTCTGTGCTTTCGAGCCTGCCCGGGGGATAACAAATGTCTGCTTGACGATATTGGTCGCTAACTGGGACGATGTGGTGGCAAACCGGTCGGACGACTAAGCAGGTGCGCCCTGCGTGCAGCGTCTGCTCATACCTTGACATGCCGAAGCGGTGACGCTCATGGGGCTTGGCTGACTCCGTGAGTGGATCTAGCGATACTCAGACTCCTGGCATTCGCAATGTGATCTAGTAGCTGCCCTTCGAGGGCCTTCAGCACCCATCACACATGACCATGACCATGGCGGTGGTCATGGGCGGGAGCAGAAGCGGGCGTATCAGCATCGCTGGAAGCATGAGCGGCCTGGCAGGGCCGACCAGGTCAGAAGACGCCCTGCAAGTGAAGATGAGACTATGCCGGTGCGAAGCGAACCAGTCGCGAAGCTGCCAGTGGTGATGATGGTGGTGCTGCTGATGCAGTGATACACCACGCCCTGGCAAGGCCCGATCCGGCCTGCGTTGCCTTGACTATGCTTTGGGTGGGCCAATTGCTCTCCCCCACCACCCTCACCAAGTCGCCCTCGATTTTCCTTGTTGGCGGGCATTTACTGCGCTGCTGGCCACTCTACTGCTGCATCTGCTGTCTGGGCCAATGCACTCCTAGCTCACCCACCCATACTATCGTCACCAAGCCCGCCTTTCACTCGCCCAGAGGCATATGCTACTCAGAACCCTCGTCGACGATAAAGAACAGCACACACGCTGGCAATATCTGTCCATGGGTATCTCAACAGTAGATAAGAGGCGCTCCCTAGTCTGGGCACCGTCAATGCGGAAACATACAGCAGTCTCGGGGCGCGAAGTCCTTCGCGGCGGCCCCTCCCAGATCCTTGAGGAACCGCCACCGCATGGCATCAGCCCAGCTCTTCGCCTTCCAGTCGTTGGCAGGCAATGGGAAGAAGTCGATCACTCCCAGGGCAGTCTCGTCGTGCGCACTGAGGATGAAGACGTCGTCACGGGAGTCAACCTCCTGAGTCCAGCGGATAGTCTCATGTGCCTGCCCGGCGTCGATCGTGAGGGCGGGATCAAAGAATGGGCGCGTGCCCACCGGCTGCCTGTTCCGAGACGTCTGCACATGTTCCAGTGCTGGGCCCGGTCGGAACGGTAGGGCTGCGAACCTGCGATGGCATGGATTGTCCGCCCGCACGGGTGCCAATGGGTTCGGCGAGATCTCTGCCGGCAGAGGTCGGTGTTCCGATGGTCTCAGCTCGCCAGCGTGGTGGATGGCGTCTGCCGCCAGCATGATGAACGTGTCGCCATCCTCTGACGAGGTTTTCGTGCGCACCAGGCCGCAGATATGGCCGGGTGCATGGCCTGGCGCGTCCAAGAGATAGAAGGACCCATCTCCGAAGTAATCGATGGCCGGGAACTGACCGATCTTGAATGAGTCTGGTCCGGTGAAGTCCAGCTCAATGAAGTCTCGACCGCTACGATATCTCGTGTCAGTAAGCCGACTACCCAGGCCGAGGCAAGTAAGCACCAAAGCTCACTCACGCGTAATCGCTCTCCAGTATCACTGCAGTTGGACTTTTTGGATAGCCAGGCAGCATTGCCTTCTTCACCCCAGGCCCGACAATGAGTTTAGTCGTGGCAGGGAATTTGGAGGGGTCTCCCGTATGGTCTAGGTGCGGGTGACTGTATGATTCGTACTTAGCGACAAGCGACTCTAATCAGGGTCGGTGGTCTCGATACGCACCTCCAGATGATGGCTTCGATGTCGTTCGGCGGAACACCATGCTCCTCGATTATCTCACTGACATCCTTCTCAACCCCAAAATCCCACTTGTGCTCCACCAAGAACTCCTTGTTGGCAGGAGGGAAGCCGGCTAGATCTTTGCGCGTCGCGAGGTCGAAGAGGACCTTGCGCTTGCCGGTCGAGTCTGTAACGAGGAAAGAGAAGGCTGGCAACGGCGGCATCACCTCCTTGTCAGGCAGCCCGGGCTGAATCAAGTGCGTTACTCTGATGTTCGCAGCGGTCGTCGTGGAGTCAATCACACTGACGAGGTGCGATGCAGCACCTCGTGGGATGTTGAGGTCAATCATGTTGCTGTATACTCAGATGCTCAATAGCTGATTCGTGCTGGAAACCTGCTAATGGCTGGCCACCGGCTAGCTCCGCGATAGCTGGTGCTGGCGACCAATCTATATATCCAGACCACTACCGTCACCAAATGCAATCGCATCATCTCGGGTGGTCATGTAGCGGCAAGCGGTGCATGTCAGCCTGCATGGTCTCGTCCCAGTGCCATGCTTGCTGATTAATTGATGTAGGTGACCGAACGGAGTCCTTGCAGGTTCTTGATTCGTTGCCGTTCATCGTGGGCCTGTGAAATGCTGTCGATGCGCTGGAGGATTGCCCAGACGCCATACATGCAGCCTCGCCGCATGAGACACCGCGCATATCGCACATCTGACAGCTACCGTCCACCACTTGCTCAGCTATCGTCTTCCGTTGGAATCCGACAGGCCTGGCACACAAGCATCTGGTTGACTCATGCGCTGCCTTCGTCTGTCAGGGCACGATTTGCCGGCTGTCAACCAGGCGTCGGTCTATCAGGACCATCCGACTATTGCAAGTGGGAAAGGTCCAGCTGAGGTCAAACAAAGTCCCTAGAGACGATCAATGGCACACCGATGGTTGTCATTTCTGCAGTGAGCGCGGTTCACACTGGCGCACAAAAAGCCTCGCAGGCTGCCTGTTGGAAGGCTTGCATGCAGCACCGCGCGAGCGAGGTGGTTGTGACGATGCGATTGCAATCGCTCCGTACGGTCTGAAGGTCAGCGACACCACGGGTTGGCACGTACTACTGGCTCGCGATTTGCCTGTACATCGCACCACGACGGCCCAACTAAGAGTGATGTTGCCGATTACAGCGCGGCGCACCTATGGGGTTGTTGACCGAGCCGTGTTTCTCAAGAACCTAGGCGATGAGCTCTTGCGAAGTCCAATGCCTGCCCAATCCCTCAACATGGGCAACTAGCCCCTGCAACGGCGCTTCAAGCTCAGTCGCCTGCTTTTGCAGGTGTCCTCAACCTATCGTCCGTTGCGAGGATATCTAGACCTGAAAGACGTCCGAGATCACAGCCCAGGTAGAAGAGACTGGTGTGGTGCCATCTGGGGTGCTGGTAGACCGTTGCGGTGCCTCGGCTTGTGCACACAGACAGGCAAGGCCAAGTGGCATCAGAGTGCGTCACGGCTAAGTACCGTGACGTTCGTACTGGCAGCCTCGGCAAAGCCAGGATGTCCAGATCCTGCATCTAGAAGCCCGATGGAGCTTCTCTGCACGGCAATTATGCTCGAGGCGGTGATCCATGCGTGGGCATGGAGACGAAAGCCGAGCGGCGAGGGACCTGCAGCGCAAGCTAGGGTTTGCAGGCATCCGTTCGCCCTGTGCCCGTTCTCATGTGAAAGTGAGCGTGGAAAGCTGGTGTGCCTCGACCTTGCAGGCTTGTCATGGTATATCTCTCAACCGCAAGCGACGTCGTGCAACTCTGCAACGCTGAGAGTGACTAGACGCTTAGCCGCGCATCCGATTAGACCAAGAGAGCATTGCGCCTGGCTTGAACCGCCACAGTCCCTGCCGTGGAGCGCCGTCACGATGAGCAAGCCCGGAGACTTTGACGCCGTCCGCAAGGACATCGTCGCTGAGATGAACAAACCAGGCTACGACGATGGAAGCGCTGGTCCAATCTTCGTCCGTCTAGCATGGTAAGTCCAAGGAAGCTATGGGTGAGATGATTGCTGTGACTCGGGGTCATTGACGCCATCGTCGCAGGCACTCTGCGGGCACGTACGACAAGGAAACGGATACCGGCGGCTCCAATGGCGCAGGCATGCGCTTTGAAGGGGAGGGCGGTGACGGTGCCAACGCCGGCCTTGAGCACGCGCGCGACTTCCTCGAGCCAATCAAAGCCAAGCACCCCTGGATTTCATACTCCGATCTCTGGACACTAGCTGGTGTCACGGCCCTGAAAGAAATGGGTGGGCCAGAGGTGAAGTGGTTGCCAGGCCGGACGGATCTTGTCGACGACTCGAAGCTGCCGCCGCGTGGCCGATTGCCCGACGGCGCACTCGGCAGCGAGCACCTGAGATTCATCTTCTATCGGATGGGATTCAGTGACCAAGAGATAGTCGCCTTGTCCGGTGCTCACGCTCTGGGGCGCACTCATATCAACCGGTCCGGATTCAATGGCCCCTGGGTCAATAACCCAACACGGTTCTCTAACCAGTACTTCAAGCTCCTGCTGTCGCTCGACTGGAGACCAACGACGTTGGAAAACGGCTTTAGGCAGTTCATCTATGTCGATCCAGACTTGACGGAGGAGGAGAAGAAGGAGGAGGAGCCCCTGATGATGCTGCCGACAGACATGGCTTTGCTCTCAGACCCCGACTTCGCCAAGTGGGTGCACATCTATGCCGAGGACAAGGACAGGTTCTTTGCGGACTTCGCCAAGGTCTTCGGTAAGTTGCTGGAGCTGGGCATTCGGCGTGATGCCAGTGGGAACATCACCAACACGGACAATGTCAAGGGGGGGTATATCTCTGCCCGTGCTCCTCGGTCGAAGATTTAGAGATTGACTGGCACGGGAGTTGCGTGCGCGAATGTACTGTACACCTAGAGGTTAAGCCGAGGGAGCTCCTCGGAGCTAGTATTTGCCAGTCGGGAATGTCCTGCCTGTGTGCGCATAACGATCAGTGCTCATTGCTTGAGTGCAAGCATGAGCGCTGAAAGCGATAGTCAGTATCATGGTCATGAGCCACGCGAGGTGCATTTCAGTGTCAGCTGCTCAATGTCTGGTCGTCTCAACGCAGATCCAACAATTGGGAGGCATCCACGGCTTGCACCGTGACCCGATGGTGTCAGCGACATTCCTACTTCACC